AGCATTGCAGCGGGGTCAAAGGGGGGTGGCTGGTCCGTGAATATCTTTAGCATTGTATGTATCCCCTGCCAAAACGGTTGTATCTCTGCGCACTCCCACCAAATGTGTAAGAACGTCCCGAGTCCCACCCCGCATCTCCAACATTGTGCTGATTGGTCTGGGTATATTTTGTGTAGGGCAGCTGGGGTGCGGTACCAAAGCGTTAGTAGTTTATATGCTGTTTCTTGGTGTTTGCTGAACGCTGCGCAGTGGTGTGTTAACGAGCACATCTTTTCCCATTCCCCTTCGCTAAAGCTGCGGTTCAGTGCCGTTTCCCATTTTCCTTTGAACCCGGGCAACTCCGTTGGGATTTGTATCTGTAGTGAGTTGTATAAGGTGGATACACCGTGGGGGAGGGGTTCTGGGTCGAGACACAGTTGTTCGAACCACGTGGGGGCGCGCCCCAGTGCTTGCCCCTGGGGGAGGGTCTTAAGGTAGCTCTTCAGCTGGGCGTATTTGTATTTCTGTGCAAAGGTGGTAGTGTTTTCGCCTATAATTTCTGTAAGGGTCCTCGGGCCTGTCTGAGTGTATATGTGATGTAATCTGGGTAGGGGGTCTGGGATGAGGTCTCTGAAGGCCAGGGAGTCGAGTCCTGGTGGAAACTCCGTATTATGTGTCAGGGGGGTCAGCGGTGATGGGTATGGGGCGAGGCTGCCTCGGGCTGCCATCCTGTGCCACACCTGTAGGGTGGATTTCACGTATATGGGTATGTTTCCTCGCTTCCTTGGTGGTAACCATGGGGCGAGCGCTATGGGGATCCCTAGTTCTGCCTCTTCCACCGACTTCCACAGTTTATGCACGTTGTCTTTCGACCATTCCGCTATTCGCAGGAGGTGACAGGCGACGTAATAGAGGTGGAAATCTGGTAGCGCCATACCCCCCTTGTCTTTCGGTTGTGTGAGTTGTGAAAATTTGAGCCTGGGTCTCCTCCCGTTCCACACATATCCCCCTAGTACCTTGCGAAGAGAGCTGAAGTAAGTTTGGGGAATACATATGGGCATTGCTTGCATCAGATACAGAAGCCGAGGGAGAAAATTCATTTTGACTACTTGGACTCGTCCAAGCCAGGAGATGTGAGGATACGACCAATCCCCTGTGTCCCTCCTGAACGAGGCCAACATCGGTGTGAAGTTTTCTGTAAATAGGCTTGTGCTGTGTTTGGTGAGCCAAATGCCCAAGTATCTAACTTTGGTGTCTGCCCACTGGAACGGGTGGCTTTGGCGGAGTATGCCCTCCCTATGCCGGGGCACTGAGATGTTAAGTATGTATGACTTTTTGAAGTTTATTTTCATGTTGGATAGGATGCCGTAGTCTCTGAAGGCTTTGATTATGTTCGGGAGTGAGATTTCGGGATTTGTGACAAAGAATAGCAGGTCGTCGGCATAAGCCGCGACCTTATGGTGTGTGCCGCCCAATTCCACCCCCTGGATGTCTGGATTGTGCCTCACCGCGTGGAGAAACGGCTCTAGGGCCAGGACGAAGAGCAGCGGCGACAAGGGACACCCCTGGCGGGTGCCGTTGTGTATGGTGAAAGCCTTTGTGGGTGCGCCATTGACAATGACTTGTGCCCTAGGTTGCCTATACAGGGCCTCTATCCATCCCCTCATGTGCGTCCCCAAACCCAGGTGTATAAGGGCCTGAAACAGGTATGGCCATCCGATCCTGTCGAAGGCCTTCTCCGCGTCCGTGGAGAGCAGGAGAAGGCCTCCGTTCCTGGCCGGTCCCCCGTGTACTATCGATAGTGCCCTTATAGTGTTGTCCCTGGCCTCGCGACCCGTTACGAACCCCACCTGGTCTGGGTGGACCAGGGTGGGGATGTGCTGTTGTAGGCGAGTTGCCAGTATCTTCGCCATCAATTTCAGGTCGCAGTTTATGAGGGAAATTGGTCTATAGTTGCCGCAATGCTCTCCGTCTCTGCCCTCCTTGGGTATGATTGTGATGTGCGCCATGAGGGATTGTGTGGGCCAGTGGTGTCCCTCTCTGATCGCATTAAAAGAGGCCACCATCGGAGTGTATAGGGTCTCTGCGAAGCATTTATAGTAGCGCAGCGGGAGGCCATCTGGTCCCGGGCTTTTTCCTGGTTTTGTCGCTTTGACTGCCCACGCCAGTTCTTCCGTGGTGATGGGTTCATCAAGCGCTTCTGCTGTGTCCCTTTCTATGCGCGTGTGTGTATGTGTCTGCAGGAATTCTTGTATTTTGTGTATGAGGTTGGTTTGTGTCTGCGGGTCTTGCGGCCCTGGGAGGTTATACAGCTCGGAGTAGTATGAGTGTATCACCTCCTGAACCTTGTCGGGGAGGCGGTGTAGAGTGCCTGTTTTGTCCCGTATCTTTTCGATATATAGGTGTTGTCTACGCTTGGTGAGCATTCGCGCAAGGAGTTTTCCACTCTTGTTGCCATGGATAGTGAAAAATGCGTTATGCCGCGCTGCTTCCCTGTGGTGTCTAGCGTGTAGGAGTGTGGCTAGTTCCCTCCTTAGCTGGAGCAGCTTTACCTGGTTGTCTAGGTGTCCGTCCCTTTTGTTGGATTCGTCTAGCGCGTGTATGTCTTATGAAATATTTTTTTTTAGAGTGCAGACACGGAACTTAGATTTGGTGAAAACTAACAATATCTGCACCTTTTGTTTAAATCAAGCAATAAAAGCTATCATTGTATCCCAAGAACAAATCATTAGATCTGTCTTGTATTACATTGTTGTTGGTTTGTTTGTTTTTTGCGGAGGAACATTCAAAACCTTTAGCAATTTTCAAAACATTACATATTCGCTTCCCTGTTGATTTATAACTTGTTGTTATCACCTACATTATGCCCTGGAGCATCTCTAAGCGTTTTTTTTTTTCCACCCTTCTAAACGAAGACATTTCCTCAACCTTCACATACAGTAATTTAGCCCACTGGTACCCTGCAGAAAAAGTACAGCATCATTAACAATCATATACACTTCAGGCACAAGCTGAAGCTACACTCACTGTCTTCAACTTCTCCTGTCTGCCATCAAAATTCATATCCTGTCACTGTTCTGAGAGCAGAAAGGCTTCTCATTACAACATCATTCTCGTCTTGCAAGAAACACTGATTGCTGCACTGGTGGCTTCGGAAGGCAAAGATGTAATTTAGCAAAATAATGTACCATGCTGATTAATTTAATGTAGCCCATGACTAATTATGGTAATTCATTACATCTACAATTAGGCTAAGTAATTTATTGCACTGCAGTCTCATAAAGCAGAGGATTTATATCGAGTTTTGAATGTCACCCAAAGGACATTTCTGTACCTTGTCTTTACTGAAGCAGAATTGCACTGCCAGCTGAGACAAGCTCGCCCCCCTACTCCCCCTGCTTCTCCCACCCTACATTTAGATTCTGCCACATTTGATGTTTGTATTGCTTTCAGAATTCAAGAATAAAGAGATGCCTATCATTATTTTTTGTATATTTTTTTAATCTGTAAGATCTTATTTTGATGGTTTGGCATTTTATTTTATCGTATAACATGCTCTTTAGCGCTGACATAGTTGAATGTAATGCGCCCAAATCTGCCTTCTTTTCTGTGAGTTCTTCTCTTCATTCTATAATAGCATCTGACATACCTAGCTAGCCTTTCACACTGCAGCAAGATAGCTTATTCCAAAAGCAGCCTTTTCCCTTCCCATTTATATTAATCCCTGTCGCAGGCTAAAAGATAACTCCTCATGCCTCTCAAAGGATTAAACTGGTACTGTCAATAATTTATAAGCCCTGGTTACCTCTGGCCAGGTGAACTAAGAGGTGCATCACGCAGTATTAAACATGCCTCTATTTATTCGTTTCTGCCTAGGAAAATAGGCAAAGGCTTTCTTGCAGCAGCAAAACAGACAAATCTCGCATTATGGTGAATTACAGCCTTTATGTTACACCCCGAAGCAGGGTTTGTTCCAGCAATCCTGTACTTCAGAGACCAATTTTTTTAGCTGATCACTGTCTCCTTGACATGGCCGCAAATGTTACCTTTCTTTTTCAATCAAAAACACAGCAGGATACGCCATCTGTTTGGCACAAGTTTAGCGGTCTTTCCCCAACGCCTTTTTGCACAGATAATTCAGACATGGCAGTTTGCTAAAAAAACACACACACACAAAAAAAAAATCCCCTTTTTCTGTGTTAATTTTTTCTTTTGTTTTTACGAAATATAGCTTTCCTTATCGCAATGTTCACAATTAAGAGATAGTGACAGCATCTTAACAAACAGCGGACTATAAGAAAAAAAATAATACAATAATTTCTCTTTTCTATAAATCATGCTGAAGCACAGCAATGGTAACATGCAGAGATATGAAATTATTATAAATATAATAGTTAATGTATGTTGGACTTTTTTTTCCCCTTAGAGGCATGATAGTGGAAGAATGACTTGGAATAAGCGTATGTGCACTGACTCCCCTACATATTGTTGTCTCACTGCACAACAATTAAATATGCATGTTCCATTATGCATGCAGCTCCTCTTTGTCTCTCATAATCTATAGTGCAATAGAATATGTTGGTGCCAAATAAATAAATTATGACAATAATAATGTTAAAAAAAAAAAAAAGCACTTGGTTCGAAACACTTTATTTATTGGTGAGGATAGTCATTGTAAAAAATATCCATCACAGAGACTCCTCCACGCTATGCATCTTAAAAAAAAATACAACAAAAAATAGAAAATGCTTTGTAATGGGTTGCACACAAAAGCTATCTTACAGAAAATATATATTTTTTATAATACTCATTTATAGTTAGTGCAGCACTGATGATGAAGATTTTGGTGGGAGATCATGTAGATGTCCAACACAAGAGGGTTGATCACCGTAGACATTTTTTTATAATAATAAAAAACCATATGTGGGACATGCATTATATATTTGAATATTTTTTTTCGGTTTTAAGATCTTGAGAAAACATAAAACTCTTAACTCATAAATAGGTTATTTTTCTGCTGGCTGAAGACTTAGTACTTCAAGTTAAAGTGTAAAAGCTAGCAATATATTGAAAAACATTTTAAGAGAAAGTACTTTGATGCTTTCTCCCAGCTCAGATGCAGTTCAGAACTATGAAGACCCCCTGATGTAGGCACAGATGATCAGCACCACAAGCTAACACCATGGGGAGGTTCATAGATCTCCGAGTGCTTTGCAGAATACAAATGTATCATCCACATTCTTGTCTTAGAGGAGCTCACTGGCTGGAGCTTATTAGAATTTATTACCCATCAGCTTTCTGATGTTAATGTACCAGTTATATAAATAGTAAGACAGAAATCGGCAGGAAAAAAACCCATATATAAACAAAAAAGGATTACAGTCTGTTTTGAAATATATTAATTAACCTCTACATTTTTAGAAATTTTACTTTAATTTATTCCACTATCTAAGTGTGGTGAAATGTTATTCAAATCATATAGTATCAAATTAAAATAAATATGCAGTTGAAACAGCAATTACTGAGTATAATGGTACATTTAACTGCAAGAGACCTAAGGAAAGAGTCCCATTGAACATCTTCTATTGACAAACATTATCCATTCTCAGGACGTTATAGCGCTATTAAGGTTTGTATATCACACCGAGTTTACTTATGATTGTTCCCTGATTAGCATTCCTAAAGATTTACTAATGACCACCAAAATGCATTTTCTATGTCATAGCGAAGCACGTGAAATGTCGAATTTGTTAAAATTCTTTTTATATTACAGTGAATCTAAAGCACTCTGTAATAAATTCTACATAGAAACAACACTGTAGGTGAAAGACAATGATGGCAGATTTTGGAACTCTGAACATTGGTAGCAGCATTCAAACAAATATATATACAAACATAGTTCACAAAACTCTAGCAAGCCACATATATCCATTACTGTTATACTGTAACGTTGACTGTTTAACTGGCATAGACTTTAACCCCTTAAGGACACATGACATGTGTGACATGTCATGATTCCCTTTTATTCCAGAAGTTTGGTCCTTAAGGGGTTAAACCCATCACCAGCTATTTTTTATTTATTTATTTTCCGTGGCACTTAGTTTACAACATAATGTACTGGTAACATTTGATTGATACTTCGTATCATCATGTTTGGTCTCAAGCCATATAATTATTTTAGCAAACTAGACATGTAGTTAATTACGGTAATATGATCTTATACAAGTATACGAGCACTCATTAAAAATACAGTCATGTAAATAATTTTTTTTTAAAAACAACATTGTCAATTTGAAGGCTACGGTAGCAACAAAACGGTTAAAACAAATAACGACATCTGTCTATTAAATTGCTATCATTATGGCAACAGGAACAGATTGACATGTTAGACGATTTGTACATTTTTACTGACATATGAGATTTTTTCATGGTGAAACAATACAGTGGGACTGTTATATAGAAAATATTTTTTTTCCTAAGTCTGTTCTCTTCTTGAGCTGAAGAAAATGCCTCCAGGATTGAACAAAAATACATTCAATGGAAATCTTGTGTCATTATGTAAACCAAAAAGATGGGTCTCAGAATATTTTTTACAGAATGATTAAATTTAATCAATTCCTGGACATATTTGTCTTGTGGTCTGAGAAATAAGAATGACAGACATTTTTATTAATAATACATTTTGTGTTGGAAACATTGGTAATTGCATTCATCCAACCTAAAACCAGGCAAATCATTTGCATATGTTTGTTTATGTTATTAGTATATTTTTTGAACAGATTTGAAAATGTGATTTTCTGAATACACCACTTTTATAGCACTAGTTTGGCTTATTTATGATATTGTCATATGACAGTTGTATAAACAAATGGCCTATTACTATAATATCAAAGTTGCATAAGTACATTTCCTACTGGGTACAGTTGCATTTTTATTTAATTGTGCATTTTATTTGTCAAAGAGATGTGATCCCGTCAATATATTGGTCTGCTGTGCTGATGACGCAGCCATTGATTGGAATGTATACGTGCTTTCCATATGTTATAAGTGTGACATTATTTTAAAGTTACGAGAAAAATGTTTACAAAGACATTTGGATGGCTTGATTTAATAAATGGTGAGATAATAAGTTAAAAAAAAGAATTTATAATCTCTCAAAACTAAATTTGTTTTACTTATATTTAATTAACTATTTCTTATTATTTTTTATTATTGGTTAATAATGCATATTTTGCTATGCCGGCAAAGTTTGGTTTATGATCATATATTTTTCAGTGACAATGACAATAGATGGCTCTGATCCATATAATGAACATGTGTATTCATTTGTAGTTTGATACAGTATTCTATTCACTCATCATAGATCTGAGAAACAATTTTCAAAATGTAGATGAGTTGAATTGAATTGGAAACATATACCAAAAACTGAACTTTTTTTTAATACAAAACAACTATTTTGGCCTAATTATATAAAGACATAAACTCATTTCATTTCTCTGTTTACGTAGAAAAAAACACATAGCTGTCTTTTACAATACAATATCAATTTCAAATGAAAATATTTTAACGTGAAAATATAATTGTTTCCTAAATCTTAAGATTTTATTGTTATGGTATGTAATATCAAACATTATTGCTATTTATATCAATCATAAGGAACAATTAGTATTCCGCAGCTTAAGTATAGTAAAAAAAAAAAATCACATTTTGTATTTACAAAACTTTGAATTTAAATTAAAAAAATGCAATCATAATTATATATTTATTAAATTGTTATAACTGCTGTGCCTAATAGCTAATTAGAAAGTCATTTAATGTATCTACCAAACTTAGGTCAGAATACAATAGTTAGAAAGACTGAAATCACAAGACATTAAGAAAATACTGGATTCAAGGTCCATAGTCAACATTTAATGAGTTTACCATTTTATTGACAACAAATTTCAGAGAGCTGTTTACTGGCCTTGGACTGTAATTTTGTACTCCATCCACTGGCTCAATAAAATATACAATAAACACATAGTTATATTGCTGTTTTTATGATTTATTTAATCTTTTTTAACTGCATGTTTTTAAGCAGAATCAAAATAACACATTTCTGAGAAATGTAATGTAAAGTCTAAAGTTTATATATAACATTTTTTTGTAAACCCAAAATATCAAAAGTTTTAATATAGATATTAAATACATTTAACACATTAAAAATTATTTGATATTCAAATTAAAGATTTACTTTTCACATTTTAACAACAAAATTATGTAAATAATGAAATAACCTTAAGTAGATAATGATTTGTTGTTGCTGGCATGATCTGGTTTTGTTTTGGTGCTTTTAAGAAATTTTGATAGAAATAATGTCTTAAACCGAGTGCGTTCAGATGCATAAAACCCAATATAAAAATCTTAAAAAGTTTCATATAATTAGTATACATTTGTAGAGCACTGGGGAATATATTGGCACTGTACAAATAACAGATAACATTATTAATGATTTTTGTTTTGCATATAAAAATTGGGTACAATCCATGGTGTACTTACCAATTATAACTTGTGTCTAAAAAATATTCCTACCGAATTTACAGATTTTTGTAATTAACATGCAATTGATTAATTAACATTGTGAGCCGATTTGTATAGTGTGTACTGTTCTATTTTTTTTATTGAGTACAAACATTTTTGACAAACAGCAATTAAATACAACTGTGTAAAGTGCAGATAATTCAAGGTATAACCTACAAAAAAACTAAACAAAACAAACCACACTTGAAATGTCTCTGTCTCGTTTTCTTTATATATCATTTTCCAACAGACCAATATTATTTTGATATAACAAGGATTATACTAGGTTTAGTCTCATAGTATATGATGACATAATGCTTTCAGCATTCTACACTGAAAGGAAAAGGAAAATGTTAATTTAAAGGGACACATCATGTACCATAACAACATTTACTCATTGCATAGGTTATGGTGCAAGTAGGTGCCACGTTCCTTTCACCTTGCACGCACTTGCTTGCAACTGCTTCAATCTGCAAAACTCATAGCTATATGCAGAGGAGGATGTTGTACTTATTTTACGGCATACGCACACTATGCATGCTGCTGACATTTCTACCTCCTTTCACCAGGTTTAAGAAAGCTTGACTAATTAGTGATTGGTGGCTAGATCAAATGCTATGTCCAATTCCATTCATAGAATTGTGAACACATCTGTCAATAAAATGATAGCATTATGTTTATGGCAATCATCTTATTCAGCAATTTTGCTCATATGATCTGGTGAACAGAATTGTTACTGGAGGCTGAACTACATATCCCATAAATATCTGAGGGACTGTGGTTGACTTTAAGAGCGTCTTTGTGGTCTGGCCAGATCTCACCACTGTTGTTGTTGTATACCTGTTGATTTGTAGCAGTTGTGAGACTTCTAAAGTATATTTTATTTGAAATTTTACACTTTCTTTTGCATTTTATTTATCTTTATAGTTCATAAAAAAATATTGGTGTCACTACCAGGCCGACATGTACTTTTTACTGATGATAGTGGTACACATTATGTGTGGACAGGATAGGTTGAAATGATGTAATATATTTTATTTAAAAATGCTGGACACATCGAAAAACATATCAAAACAAAGTAGATAACAAAGTAAAAAATAATATATACATTGATAAAAAGATCACTAGTCAGAGCTGTATTAACATAGGGGCTAATGGAGCTGAAAGTCCAGGCCCATGCCCCTGAATTATGCAAGGGTTGCCCAAAAGGTAGATCCCCAGGTGCTGTAGAACCACAATTCCCATGATGCTTTCCATGTGTTTGCATGCTTTTTGAATGACAAGGCATCATGGAAGCTGTAGTTTTACATCTGGGGAGCTAATGCCTTGGCACCCCTGAATTAGGCCCATTGATTAAAACAACAAAACAAAAACGTTTGTGGACTGGCTGACCATAAACTAGTTAGGGTAAAGCTGACTTTGCACACTGTCTATCACTGTCTGTTTCAAACTCTCTATCAATGTGCCATGTCCCCCTTAATTCTACACTCACTACATCCACCTTTTTCTCTATCTTAGTCTGCATTCTGGGAGCTTCTGCCTGCTAGCATGAAGGGAAGGAAAGAAGTGGACAATTGAGTGCTCAGGGACACCTGCGAACTGCCCCCGAAATCGTAGAGTGAGGGCCTCAGACGCATTCATGCCAAGTTCAGAGTGGTGAAACAGCGCAGTCTGCCTTGTCCATCCTTCGTAGGCCACCCTGTGTGATTGGAAGGCAGTCTGGCTTGCAGTTACACCAGACTGACCTTCCAATGCTTCAGGTTGACCTGCCCCTTTCCGGTCTGCTCCTTTGGGCAGTGATTTGCATCACTAACCCAACTTCTTTTACCCCGCACACCGATATCCCGCTTCACAGAATGTCAATGTTGAGGTGTATGGATTTGGTTGAGAAATGAAAGCAAGAGATTAGCACAGAGTAAGTTTATTCTTATAAATGCATTATGAGTTTCTCTCCGGCACCACCTCCAATAGCCTCTTAACCCGGTCCTGTCGCTAGTATTGTAAAATAGAAGTCATACACAAGTCTTAAATAACAAAAATGTGTTTTAAAACTGAAGAAAGATAACTGTTTGAGCCAACAGATCCATTTACAGCTTTGTGGAAGAAAATTAATTATTTCAGGAAAAAGGGCATAATTGAAAAATATCCCGTATTCTGAATGTAGGGTATGTATGTACCATGTATAGTGTCTGATATAGAATTGCTTACAATAAACAAATATGTAAGTGAGTATAAAAAAAAATGTTGCATGTTCAAAATGCTCCATTCAAGCCCCTTGTAAAAATACCAGTCTTGACAAATGTTATTCCTAAATGTCCAAGGTTGCCCTCTTTTCTCAAAAGTCTCCGAACCTCATACAGACTGGTGCCAAATGGAAGATGTCCTCCTTGTTTGGCTCATGATAAACTAATGTGGTATATAACTCTCTCTGCTTGAATGCTTTGAGACAACATATCTCTGCATTGAAACAATCAAATGGATCTTTTATGCTAAATATTTTTTCTTGGATGCATTTTTCACACAAAGACCCAGTGGGAGTGCTGTAAATATTGTAGATATAAGGTATAGATGGTCGTGTGATCTCCATCAACTGATAACAGCTGGTTTAAATTGAGAGCTGTTTGTGATGTTCCAGGCACGGATTTCTTGATATTTTTTCATACAATACATGTATAATCATGTAACCATAACAGACAAAAATGTTTCAGTATATATTAGTTGATGAGATATTTCGGTCCTCCTGATGTAGAGTCGATCTCTGGGTGTAAAATCTTTGTTTGCTTTTCAGGGGAAATAATTAAAAGTGCTATTATTTGCCTCGTACTTTAGTTGTACTTTACAACACAGGTAAAAGTATTTTATAAATAGATAAATTAATAAATGTATCAAATTGCACAGAAAAATTGGGCTGCATTTGATACTGCCATGTATGCATTCACTTTGACATATACTTCATTAACCATGTCGACACAAAGCATTCACAGATACCACCTTATAATAATCCTTTAGCATCTTCCTCGATTCTCAAGTAAGAAATGGGATGAAACGTTTATATATTTACAAAGAACAGCCATGTTTGATCGATGCAATCTGCATGAATACATTAGTAACCATAAATATTGGCAAGATGTGTTTGGGATGTTCAAAGAGTTAATTGATGCTATGTAAAAAAAAAAAAAAAAAAAAAGCAGAGAGCCATTACAGTGCCAGGCACACTATGGTACTCAGTAGCACTGCTAGATTGCACATCCAACTGGGGTTGGAACCCAAAGAAAAACTGGATGGTTCCTCCACCGAGATCCTGCTCCTGGATACACATACACCCCACCCCTTAATTAATTCAAGCTCCACATTTTTTCTCATTGACGTTACATCATTGGTTCACTCCCAGACCCTGAAAAACAAAAATAAAAAGCAGAGCACTCTCACACATGCACATAACTATCCACTCAAACATGGTGCCTCCATCAAAGCACATCAAAGCACATTATCATCTATACATGTGAGTGCAGATATGAATGTCCACTGTTGTTCTAGGTGCTCAGATTATTACCCTACGGAGTGTGTTCGCTTGCTTTTAGAGTTCATTTTTCTTATCGGAAATTTACATATATCTGTATTAAAACTGGAGTTACCCCTGAAGAACAAATATGCTGCAGGAAAGGGTATTTTTGTTTTAGTATAAATTGGTATATTTTTGGCACCTTCTATAAGTTGTATATAATATATTACTTTGTCCTCTTTGATTTAGGAGCAGGAGGTCAGACATATTACTAAAAAATATTTCTATTTACTTTTTCTCAGAGAGACGTGTATGATTTTCCATTTTCATTACATATTTTCCAGCACATGGGATATTAAAATTCAGAATCTTCTATAAGTTTTCCTGTGTGTATGGCCACCCAGCGACCTTCTCCTTAATGGTAAACTGGATGTGTGTGGTATAACTAATAGGTATATTGTACTAGATGTCGTAAATGCTGAACATGAACTTGTCATGTTGTGTCACTTGATGACACCGTTATGACATGTCAACATGGATGACATTTCAATGACTTTGCAGTTTCTACTCCTATTCTTTTCAGAGTACATTTCCCTAATTGTACTTATTTTTGTATATCATTTTTATAATTATTTTGAAAATATAAATTTTTTTTAAACAGTGATGTTTAAAATAAGCGTACAAACTTCATATAAGTTATTCTAACGTAAAAGAGCACATTTTACAGAAATGTGGATTTCCATGTAACTGTTATGTAACTAGCTAATTGTTATTATTTCAGTACCAGACTTGTGTCTGACGTTCGCTCATTCTCATCTTTGCATTTTCTGGTCACTGACCATGATTGCAATGCCAATTATGTTTGACATGTACAACACTATGAAAATAATGTGTTTTTCCACAAAACATAGTGAGCGAGATAATGCATAATCCTGCATCAAGTGTTTTTTTGTTCGTTTTTTTTATATCAGGTTCTCTGTCTCGTGTTACTGAGATAATGGCACGAATGATGTTATAATAAGATTTTTGAAATAAAACATGGAACCAGTGGATATTTTCCTGGTCTACTGTAAATTTCGGAGGACTGCATTAGTTTAAGGTTATACAGTTACTTCATATTGTATCAACATCTGCCCTAATTCTTGATTTTCACAGTAATACAGGGAGTAGAGAAGAATATGCAAAAAGGCAAACAAAAAAGTCCCCCCCACACACAATAAATAAATAAATTACCATCATATTAGAAAGTGTGGTATTCAGAAGCTCTCATTCAGAGCTGCTGTTCTCCTTATATGATACCGATGGGCATCATTTTGCGTTTAATTTCTAGAGACTCTTCTTCCTTGTAACCAAACATGTAGCAAGGAAACAAATTGATCCAACCGGAGCAGTTTCTTATCTAAGCCTATCCAAAGTAATTCTATCATACTCCTCACCAAAGACAGAGATATAGAGTTAAAGTACAACAGTCACCCATGATTTTTAATATAATGTTTACTGTTCTGTTATAGTTAACACAATATTTTTGTTATATGTAAGAAAACTATATGGTAAGTAGAAATGCATACCTCTTTATCCTGTAATGGGTGCCTCCATCCTGAATCCCTGTAAACAATTGTTATAGAATCTATCCTTTGCACCTAGCAGACAGCACATAGAGAACAGGATAAATTCAACGAGACGATAAATTAAACACGTTTTCCATTCTCCTTCTCATTTGCATTGTGTGCCCGAGCTGTGCCTGACTCGTGATATTGTTTGTTATGTCTTTAATATAGTTTTTGTTGTTCTTTTTTTTTTTTTTTTTTAAATGGAGTATTATGTGAAAAATGTTATGGGTGATTTGTGATGGGTCAGATTAAATACATTTGTGCTGCAAAACAGCTTACCAATCGTAAAAGATTATTATGACGCAAATATTCCTTGTCAGTCACCTTAGTCAGCAAAACAGTTGACTAGAAACCCCACCCCACATACACACACACACACACACCCACACACACACACACACATGCAAACACAGCATAGGAATGGAGTAATGTATGCTGAATACACTTTGGGAATGACAGCTGCTTCTCCAATGTGTACATCTGCTTGTAACCCTTGATAATCATTAGATTCAGAGATATGAGACCAAAGCCTGTTGTTTTGCAAAAATAGGCACATTTAGAGCTCTAAATTCTACGTATGCATCTATCAGGTGTATATGAACATGTGGCTCATATGGCACTGCTCCAATCACTTTGACTGACAGGGTTCAACAGATTTTGTGCTTAAGCAGTACCTTATAATGATTTCCCGCCTACCAATTTATAGTTAGCTATGGACAAGATTATTTTAACCCCTTAAGGACACATGACATGTATGACATGTCATGATTCCCTTTTATTCCAGAAGTTTGGTCCTTAAGGGGTTAAGCTGAACCCTGTGTGCATGGACATTTTATGAATACAAACTTACAACACTGGAATTTGTTACATTAGCAGTGATATATGGTGAGTTAGAAAGAAAGAAAAGAAGGAAGAAAGGAAGGAGAGAGGAAAAAAGAAAGAAAAAGACAGGAAGGGAGGGAGGAAGGAAGGAAGGACTGTTAATTTCTTGACAAGATGATTTATACTGTTGATTTAAGTATATCTGACAATTAAACTTACCGTAAAAACACATAAATATTGCAAACTTCTTCAAAATTAAGCACAAAATTGTATCTGCTCATACTGCTTAGTAGTTTTAAATCATTAATTGTTTAATTGCACGTTGATTAGAGAGACGCCAGGCTGAGAAGAAGCAAAGTCCCTGGGCACTAAGGGACATGGAGTCTGATACAAAACACATAGCATGAGCTATACATACTCTTACTGTTACATCGTTACTAAACAACGACGCAATATTAGAACGTACAGTATAATAAGATGAAACATGAGCTGCAATTGCAGCTTTTATGACTTATTAAACGGCACCTATCTCAAGGCACCAGAGGCATGACTAGGAATCGATTATTTTAACTGAGGAAGTAATTTTCATACACTCAAGATCCTTTGTTACGGTCGCTACCCATTCCCGAGCATGGCAGTACAGTCCCTATGTTCTAGAGTGAAAGATCCAGGATTTTTAATTTTTAATTACAAAACTCATTAAATATCAATATTACGAACGAAAGATTTCTTTCTGTTATTTCTGATAGCCAGATTTCTTTGAATAAATTTATTTGACAATTACACTGTACTTCTTCATTTTGCGTGAAGGCCAGATGGCATTAGACTCATTTACTTCACCTTGTTGTGTCTAATTACTACAATCAACACACTATTTTCTAAATTAATCATAACAAAGTAACTTCATTAGTAACACAGCAGGCTGTGGAATTATTAGCATCATAGCAGGTTTGCAAACAATTAAACTTTATTTGAACCTTAGAAATTTGCAGGGTGGAATATGTCTAGGGCTGAACAGAACAATGGTATAATTTGCAGTACAGTACACGATTTCATTACTATTTCTGGCATTTAAAAAGAACAAGTCTGTGAGACAAATATGCTTTACTCCAGACACAATTGCGGATTTCTCTAAAAACTTCTGAAAACCATTCCAAAATAGTTCTGTAGCGATCTCAAAAAGCATGAAATATTTTCTTTAAAAAAAAACAACAATTGCTGGCATATTTTGCGATGTATTCAGAAATACAGATTTTTAAAGCTGTATTTGTATTAAATGAAATATAAAACAGGACAAAGTGACACTTTCTTTATTTTAACCAAGTCACTGAAAGGTCAGGTCATTGTTTTAATCAGTTGGTGTAGCACTCCACCTCCTGGTCATCCAGAGTAAAAACTACAACCAGCTTTTTAGTGGTTAAGGGGACATAGTTATATGCTCCCACTAAATAAAGTGATGGGGGCTGGGCTAAAGGAATTTAGTTTCACCATTTATGCTTAACATCTGCCATCTGCTGGCCACTTAGGACACTACATCAAGCAATATTTTACAGTGGATTTTATAAGCATACGTATATAATGATATATAGATACTCAAATGTATTTTGTAGATGGAATATATTTAGAACATTAAATAGACATTCTAAACGTATAATAGCAGACATAGAGTTATAGACTGGTTGGCATTTATAGTAGATTGAGAGAATAGCCCATTGTGCCCAAAGTTACCCCATGAATATAATGGGTAAATGCTTTTCTTTAATCCTTAAACAAAAAATTCATAAAACAGGACTACAGACATATAACAAATTCATTAGGTTAACAAAACGGTAAATCTCAGAGGTTTATACACTAAACCAGAAATTGCAGATTATTGAAAAGGTTGAATTTTGTTTCCAACTACCTATATTGTTTTACAATTTACAATTCCTTCATCATACCTCCACAATTTCCTGTTTAGTGAATTTAGTGAGTTTTAGTATTTTAAACTGATTTATTTGTTGAAACACTCTAAAAAAAAAAGAAAATGCAATGCATTCAATAGCTAAGAAACACAATATAAACAGAATATAAAAATATGTATCATTGCTGATTAGAGGAACAAACTCCATCCAAAATATACAAAAATACTAAGTCTAGCGTGTGAGATACTAAAATAGTAAATGAAATTGTGAAATAGGAGTAGCCTTCAAACAATATATTACCATACAGCCTAAGCACAGATGCATGTCATTTTTATCTGTGTATAATTATAAATTAAATCTGGAGCGGAAAAAAGCTTAGCATTGTGGAATTAATGACTCAGTAAAAAAAGGAGAGATTCTGCACACCATAATTAATTAAATATTGTAAGAAACTTGTCTTATTCTTCCTTTTTCTCCTAATTAAAGATGGTTTCTAGAGGGAAGGAGAGAGAGAAAAAAAAAGTTGAACAAAAAAGAAAATGTACAATAGCCTTATCGTAAAGATTGAACTACCTTAGACAGAAATTAATTAAAATGTTTGATTGAAGGCAATTTACAGTAGCAAGCCGTGGAAAAGATAAGCGTATAATCCAGTCACTGCAATGTGGGATGCTACTGCATGCAGACAACTAATGGGGCAGTATTAATTAAGGCTTAAAAGCTATTTTTTGCAACAGTCTTTAAGTTAATATAACTGCAGCAGAGGTTTTAGGAAGGAAATGCTTATAAAACAGAGAACAGGCGAACACACAAGCCATTATGGTAGATTGGATTAAAATGTACTTACCCGGGCCTCTCAAATGTCATACATCTCCATTATGTAAGCTTTAGGCACCAAGCCAATGGTTCCCTTCATTTCTCCTACCCACCAGCCGTATGTATTGTACTCCTAATTCAAAACAATAAGCTGTATTAACCTTTTGCCTAGCGCAAATGTAATATCATTTAATGTAAAGCTACTTTTTAAATGTTTGTGCCCTGTGTTTGGTCAGCTAATAGCAGCAGCGCAAGCCTTGTGTGTCAGCCTTCTGGAAATAAATTCCATACATACTTAGCTAGAAGACAGCATGAAGATCACACAGAAAACATACAAGAGAAGAGGGGAAAAGGGAGAATTAACTCCTTAATTCGCACATCGTTACACATTCCAGTCTAGCAAAAAACATAATTCACATTTTTTTTTTAAACAACCAATTATAAGGGGCTACAAATAGAGTTATTCGCTAAAGTGAGTTAAAATACAAATTGCAAAATAGCCAGCCAAGCATGACTATAGGTGAGGTGGACAATTTTCCCAGATCATCTATTCTTGCCTCAATTGTCATTCATATTTTAATTTGTTGCAATTCGACTTAGTGAATAGGCCTTAAATTCATTTTCTAAACAGCAATATTTATGTGTATATCTATTATATATATATGTACGCCCACGTACGCCCAACTCACGCTTGCAGGACTTCTCACGGGCGGCTTCCATCCTATGGAATAGCCTGCCTACCGCCATCAGACTCTCCCCTAGTCTTTAACGTTTAAGAACTGCCTTAAAACCCATCTCTCAAGGAAAGCTCTACCTTACATACTTGCTCTCTCCTAAAGGGCCGCACTCTACTCTCTTCTCCAGCTCTGCTTCACTCCCACCTTATTTGATTGCTGTTTCCTATTTCTATTAATGTGTGTTATACCCCACCTCCTATAGACTGTAAGCTCGATTGAGCAGGGTCCTCTTCAACCTATCCTTCCTGTAAGTTTTCTTGTAATTGTCCTATTTATAGTTATATCCCCCTCTCATAATATTGTAAAGCGCTACGGAATCTGTTGGCGCTATATAAATGGCAATAATAATAATAATAATGAATATGGCACTATCATCTACTTTCAAGATTGCGTCTTGTTATTACCAGCTATTTGGGCATGTATGTTGCATCACAAGCAAAAAATAGCCGGATATGTTTAAAAAATATTGAAAAAATATTAGTATTTTAAAAATATATACTTACAACAACTTCACTTTTTCTACTTCTCCAAAATCTGAAATGTATATATGGCACCACCACAATTCCTAATATCCAGACGGATGCTAGGAGTTGTGGGATGCTTCTCTCTGCAGCTAACTGTACTTCTAATTTTTACCGCTATGTCAGTGGTGTAATAACTAAGGTTAAGGTTAAAAAACATGTATCCATGTTTTATATATCTCATTTTTTATTATTATTATGTAAAATAATTTTCCACTATGTCAGGGACATTTTTAAATCTTTTCAATAAAAATCAGATACAACTCAGTGCAAATGATCAGATTCACTGGAAATACGTGAGATGTGTATTTTGGGGGTTTTATTTTCTTTCCTTGTACAGAAAGGGGGGGGGGCGAATCATAAATAAATACATTTTAAAAATAAAGAGAATTCTTACACCAAACACTTATTAACCTTCCTCATGTACATTGGCTTTTATGAACGCATTAAGCTTGCCCGTTTACATTAGTGGCAATCTGTAGTTGATAAATAATAATTATTTACCATTAAGTCGTTAATGTTAAAATTTGATAGAGCCAATTAGCCAGCGTGCAAAAATAGTCCATAAACAAGTCATGCATAAATAATGGAGGTTAATAACGTAGACCACAACAATAGCAAAAGCTAAATAATTCTTTGATGATTCAATTATCATGGGGACTTGTCTTTACTTAGAAAAGTCTACCTACAGAAAATTCTTTGAAAGAGATAAGCTGCAAAATACACTCCTGGCCAAGATAGCCTAGATTGACCTGGAGGCGAATATGTAACTGTAATGATGAAGAACTTCCAAGCTTCTTCCTAATGTACTCAAAGGGTTAAATGGGCTACAAATGGTTCGTGACCTTACAAATTAAAGTAACTAAACTAATAACCTCAAAAACCTCATTCTGTCTGGATGCAGCTTTATATCTCAAGGGATATGAGCAATCACTTGCTATGACCATGCTTTGTGAGATATTGGTTATATGAATCAGAGGTCCTTAGCCTCAAGAGCTTACAGTCTGGAGGATGACCCAACATGTAAGCTCGATATTATGTATCCACACAATTAACACTACATGTTGTGATTTTAATGATGATGAATGATAAGTGTAAGCTGGTTTGAGCAGGGTCCTTTATATATTTAAAGGTGGCCCTAAAATAGAACAATGTGTATTACTGATGTTAGTTCATACACAGAACAAATAGAAAAATAGTTATATAAAAATGTACATAACCCTGTTTAA